CTCTACCACACCAGTGCCATCTTTGAAAGCATCTGCAAAGCAGACATCGCCCGCTTCGCGCATGTGATCCTTAAGATCCTACCAGCAAATACACGAAATATTTCAGAATTGGTAATACGACTGGTTTTTTATAACTGACAACTTGGTGGAAAACCTGTTTCCTCTTCATTTTAAAATGGCAAATTGGAAATTACCAAAGGTTTTTAAATAATAAATTTTAATGTCTGTTGTTAATAAATAACAAGGTTTTGTCTTAAATCATTGATTCTAACAAAGAGAAATATTCCAATGTATTGGAAATCCATTGTATTATATAAGAAAACTAAATAATCTGAAAATAATACAGGTAGCTCCAAACCTGCCAAGATCCAGAGGGTGGTAATCCTGTAACAAGCACCCTGTACTCAGAGCGTCTTGCAGGTGGGCCCCTGGCAGTAGGTCTGGATCCAAAACGATCACCCCCTCCTCGTCCACCCCTTGCACCTCCACCACCACCTCCCCTTGGGAACTCCACACGTAGACGATATCCGTCGTAATCGTAACCATCGCGTGCACGCACAGCATCATCTGCATCTCTGTAACATGATAAATTCAATTTTTAACAAACTGCAAAAGAGGAACTTACTAATGTGACTTTAGTAATTATCGTTTTTAATGTTGTGAAGAGTATAAATCCACAATGATCCTATACACACTTTGGGTTAGCTACAGACATCGGGTCAATCTAGAGAGCAGTCAAGAGGTTTTTCAGAATACAAAATGATAACAATTCTCAATATATTATTTCATGTACCACTATCATAGCAGAGTTTAGAGCAACCTGACTTTATAGATAAGATTGGTTGAATCTGTTCTAAAATCGAAACAGCACACCCTGACTCCAGGCAGTCTTGTCTGCCCTACCCCTTTCGTGTTTTTGTAAAGTCATAGGTGCGGAGAGAGAGCAACCCCCATCAGCAGTAACAACTTCAATTTGCATGAAGCCCAATGGCAATAAGCCTAGGCTGCAGACGTGAGAATGGGTGCCTGGAATTTTCTATGCAAAGGCGAGAGGCTGCGCTTCTCGCAGCGCCAAAGCTGTTGCATAAGTAACTTTAGTTCAATATTCCTGTGTAAAAAGTGAGGTTATGATTTTACAAAAAGATTCATAACTCATAAATGATACATTTCCACAAGGGGGAAGGGTAGTGAGGCTTTCCCCGAGTTATTCATTATTTAGTTACAAAAATAACAATTTCAGTGCTGCAGATGCAGATGCAGAGATCCTTCCCTAAAGCTACCACAGCTCCATAATAACAGTAAATAATTGTGGAAACAGGACAGCTGAATAATAAAGAAGTTTAATATCCATCAACAATATGATAGCATTTTACCTTTGAAATCTAATTTAGATGTTCACCAATAAAACACCAGCGCAATGTTAATTTTATTATCATCACCATTATACCCCATTATATTATAACCCACTACTGAACATAGACCTCCCCCAAGGAATGCCACAAAGCACAGTCCTGAGTAACCAGTATCGTTCGACTTCATGCATGTCTTACCAGGTCAACACTCCATCTAGTGGGAGGACACCCTACATTTTGACTATCGGTTCAATTTTGAATTAACATTTGACATCTATATTTCAATTTTTTCATGGCTTTTAATTAACCTAAATTATAATTAACACTCACTGTAGTTTCCAGACACAATAGCAATGACCCATATGTGGATCACGGGACAGGGAAGGTGTAAATTAAAATTGAAATTGTTTATAACAACATTGAAGGGACATTAGAACTAAGTATGCTTAAGGAGGTTATCATTATTGAACCAATATAAACATAATGCATGTTTTATCAATGCATTGCAAAATATATCAATTTGTTAGGGTTGGGTTTACAATTCGGTCGCCTGAATTTGAAGATTCTGTCACTGTGGGGGAGTCAAGGGGTTTATCTGAAGCACCCCCACTCGATTTTTTCTGCCGGAGCAGCGTCAAAGTATTTTTAATTATTTTTTAAAAATATTGGTAAATGACTAATTATTACATTTTTGACGTTTCATCTGTCAATGTCATATCAATACATAGTACTGAATCGATCTAGTGAATCGATATTTCACCCTAGAGAATCGAGATCGAATTTTTTTCTGTTTTATTAAGATTTGTAAAATTATTTACAATTTTTTTATTTCGTTTCTGTTCAATCCTTTCTTACAAATGGTGGGCAAACATAAATTATGTTTATAAACGAAAGTAGTTATAAAAGTTAATATTTTGGTGTTATATCAAGTGCAATAGCAAGCGAAGCAAGCCTGGGATGTGGAGCACCCCGACTCGGACACATTAGGTTAGAAGAGGATGACGGGGTCGAGTGAGCGAGCGAATAGACCCCGTCATCCTCTTCGTGGTTATTTTTTTGTAAACCACTCAGAAGTAGAAGCCCCGCAAAGCGGGGCTCCGTCGACCGGACTTCCCTCAACTGCACCACGTTAAGTGGCGTGGGGCTTCCATCCCCCAACTTTCTCTCCCCATAAATCGGGTTAAAATTGTCATAAAAATTACAAAACATAACCTCAAAATGAGATTTTTAAAAATTTATAAAAAAAAACTAAGCATGTCCGGCAGAAAGGGGAAGTAGGGGTGACTCTACAACTACTCCCCACCCCCTAATTCAGGCAACCGAATTGTAAACCTTACCCATTTGTTATATTAATATAAAAATTGAATGGAGAAAAATACATCTAGGTGATCATGGCATATTGACTAAACAACAATAATTATCTAATATATAAAAATTTATGTTTGTTCATATTTTATGTGGTATGGCAACCATTCATCAGATTGCTTTAAAACTTTGACAACTTATTGCTAGCACTTGAGCAAAGGTTATAGGTATAGTACAATTAAATTACAGTAGGTGGCGCATGTATCGTACCGACAAATTTATTTGAAACTTATGTCATTCAACTTCAAATATATATTCCAAATTAAGTATATAACTCTTCCAAATTTAAAACAATATTTTTAAAATTAATTATATTTGTAGCAACAATGCACCAAGTATCAGCTAGTGATATATAGTGATATATACTTTTACAATTAATGTCTTATCTGGGAGTTAATACATTCCTTTTATCAGCACACTACCATTACATACAGCAATAAACTAAGATAAAGATATGGAATTTTCCTTGTACATATATACATATTTATAAAACTTGGTTATATGGAAATAGCTTTTATGAAGCTTGTGCTATTCAATTGGTTTGTCCCATGTTGGTCTGGGACAGATATGACCCATGATGCTCTTTCATATCATAGAAGTTATGTTAGGTTTAGGATTTCAATAAAATTTCCAACTGAATGGGATGGTGGTATATTTTTTCTTCACAAAATTTTACATTTCATGTTGAGATTTCGTGTTAGATATTTCAGTAGTTCTTATCTCTGGTCTCTATAAAATTAGGGTATTACACTCAGAACCGTGCTTTCAGGCCTATGATTAGCAGTGGACTTGTGATGGGCTGGAATGATGACGATGATGACACAATTTGAAGCAAATTTTATTGCTTCATCAGTTGTAACAATATATAATTTATAATACTAGTGCGAAAATCATTCTAAATGCACGAACCTAGATAAATTAAATAAGATATACATATAGAAGATATAGGTTTTGACTATAGGTTTATTGCGAGTAAAAAGCTACTAAAATACACACTTACCTAGGATCTTCAAATTCAACGAAAGCAAATGGAGGGCCTTTTCTATTTTTTAAATCAACAAATGTAACTTTGCCAAACTTATAGAACAGATCTTGGATGTCCTTTGTTCTTATGTCCGGTGGTAGATTTCCTACGTATATTCTGCACTCATTTCTATTGCTACCGCTTCCTCCAGACATTTTAAATTATAATATGAATTGATAACAACTTATAATGTGAAATTAGCAACAAAGAACAAAGTGCAGAATATAAATTTATGTACTTTATCTTTACTTCGTAAAAAACAGTGCTTGTGCTTAGCGCTTGTTACAAATTCAAGATGGTGAAGATGGCGATAGCATGGCGGCAAGGGCACAGACAATTACAAAGATAAAGGGTGCGTTTGGCAGAAAAAAGCGCTAGCAAGCGCTTATAAGCGCTAAAATAGTTTTCGGCCAGGACACGATTGCTACTTCAGTAGCGCTGACACAATCCGCCATTTTGCTTATTTAATTTGTTTGTTTTGAAGTAGAGTTTATAAGTTGTTTTGTGCAATATTAGTTTTAAGTAATATAATGACATGAATAAACATATACATGCTATTAAAAACTCATGATTGGTAAGTTTTTAATATGCATATTTTACAAACATATATTTAAATTAGGTTAGATTCCCCGGTTAAAACTAACATCGTGTCCTGGAGGAAAATAGCTACTTACGATTTGACAGCGCTTAATGATTACGATCGCCATTTTGCTTACAAGCGCTTGCTAGCGCTTTTTTCTGCCGAACGCACCCAAAGACTCTAGTCATAAGCAAGAGAGCTAATGTCACAATAAATTGAAATAATTACCCGTAGACAGAGAAACCTATAGACTAATGATCAGCGTGGCCTCGAGTGAGAAAGGACGATATCGAATTTTTAGGTTATACAATAATCTTTATGACTTTTAAACACATTTAGATAAAATTTTTAATTGTTATAAGAACTGAACTGAACAAGATTCACCAATCTTAATGTCACAAAACACTTTTTTCTCATTTAAACCAACTTGTAAACACCTTAAATCGCTACGCTATTAAAGTTGTTTAGCAAACTGTAGAGTTTGCTAAACAAAAAAACCAGCACGGAGAAAGAGACAAACAATCCCACCGCTTTATTTCATTTCTATGCATGACGTATGCATAAATCTATCTTTTTCGTGTGCGAATGCGAAAGAAGGCGTCAATTTGTCTTTTTTGCTGAGCTGGAACCTTCTATCCCCGTCACGGAACAAAACCTGGCAGACCGAGTTCGGTACATAATGCGCTCGAAAATATTTGATGATGCCAAACTCGAACGACTACGACGTGAGGCTATTCCATCGTCGAATGAATCGGCTATGGCTGGAGATGCAGCTCCACATCCGACAGACCAGCATCCACACGTGGACGCCACCATGGATCTTCCTGTTGTGGTTGATTCGAACGACGATGAAATAGTCTCCCACGAACTAGAGCAAATGAGGAGTATATTGGAAGAGGCGATTTTGGAAACGCGCAGCACCCCTCTCGAAAATCGACCGCGACTTCCCCGCATACCCCTAAGCAAACGAAATCGGGCTGTCGTGCGGGCTCTTAACCCAATGCTGGTGACCTATTTGGAAGCTAGCTGGGACCTTTGCGAGACGGACTCAATTCTCTTTGGCGCCGCAGTGGCAGTTTGCCGTATTATTGGCACCAAACTACCCATGACTAGACGCGCTACTACACAAAGTAGCGCCATCCCAGCCTGGAGAAAAAGAATCGAGGACCGTATCGCAAAGGCAAGGGCCCTTATCGGCAGACTGACAAGCTTCAGGTCGGGTAATAATAGACCGAGGATTGTGCGCACCGTTAGGATGGCGTTTGCTGGGACAAATATCAGTTTGTCCCAGCCGGATATCACGCAGAAACTAACAGAGCGCATAGACGACCTGAAGCAAAAGATCGCTGCTTGGGGGAAGCGGATTCGACTTTACCGAGAGGTCAAGGCGGTTCAACCAGAATCGTCTCTTCCAGAGTGATCAGAAGAGGCTCTATAAATCATTGGAGCGACCAAAGGTATGTGGAGCGGGCCAAGGAACGGATCAGGCTGACATTATCGCAGGCTGCGGAGAACCACATAAGGATAAGAAGGGGTATCTTCCAGGGCGATTGTTTGAGTCCAATCTGGTTCTGCCTCTCTCTGAACCCTCTCAGTACCTTACTGGAGGGCTCCGGGAGGGGATTTCAGCTACGGAAAGGAGGGACAAAAGTGACCCACCTTTTCTATATGGATGACATCAAGTTATTCGCCTCCAGTCGCTCCCATCTTATGGAACTGCTAAACATCACTTGTGAATTTAGCAAATCCATTGGAATGGAGCTGGGGACGGATAAGTGTGCGGTCCTCCATGTTGAAAGGGGAAGGGTTGCTAACTCTGAGGGCATAGACTTGTCTATGCCCGTCAACTTAAGGACCCTTTCCGAGGCTGAAACATACCGATACCTGGGTATGTCACAGAACATCGGTATCGATGAGGCTGGTATGAAACAGTCAGTTTGCGACGTGTTTTATGCACGCTTGACCAAAGTGCTTAACAGCCTTTTGTCCGGTGTGAATAAGTCACACGCATATAACTGCTGGGTCATGCCTGTCCTCATGTATACCTTTGGCATACTCAGGTGGACTCAGACTGAGCTTAACGTCCGTTAAGTCCGTTGGCGTCGACCATAATATAACATCATAAGGCGTCGATCCAGCTGCCCTAAACGAACCGTGGAAAGGAGAGTTTTTCGATCTCGAGAGGGTAATGCAGCTAACGGCACTGCCTGGCGGCGGCAGGATCATCGTTCATCTCACGCTAGGGAGGTTACAGCAGTTACGGTTCGCGACCACAATAAAAGATACAGCTCTAGGTGTTATGGCTGTGGGGAAAGGGGCCATCTTCGGTCCAGCTGCCCTAAGCACACCCTAGGAAGGGAAGGTGAACCGTCGTTAAGGCTCTACTGGGACAGGGCCATCGTCACAGACAGGACTATTCTTGCGAATAAGCCTGATATTGTGCTGATGGACCGGGCACAGTCAAGGATATTTTTGGTCGACATTACCATTCCGTATGACGAGAACCTCGTGAAAGCCGAAACAGATAAGCGAACAAAATATCTGGACCTGGCTCACGAGGTGACCGACATGTGGGGTGGTCGGCCGACCGAAATTATTCCTGTAGTCGTCTCTGCGAATGGGGTAATTCAGTCGCCTCAGATGACCCGAGAGGCTGACTGGGACTCCGTGACGGACCGCTCCGGGCTCAAATGCAGAAGGCAGTGTTCCTCGATACCGCCCTCATCGTCCGTCGGTTTCTTTCCCTTTCCTCCTAACCCTCAGCCGTTTGGTCTCCTCTGCAGAGGGCTTCCATCTGGTTAGATCTTTATTTATTTGTGTATTTTTTGTATTTATTTTATTTTATTGATATTTATGTATATTTATCTTTTCATTTTAATTTATATTTATATATTTATAGAAACCAACCAGATGAGAAAACTATACAGATATCCCTAAAATAATAATAATAATTATATATATATATATATATATATATATATATATATATATATATATATATATATATATATATATATATATATTTAGTTTATGTTATTGATATTTATGTATATTTATCTTTTCATTTTCATTTATAAATATATATTTATAGAACCCAACCAGATGAGAAAACTATGTTGATATCCCACAATAATAATAATAAAATATTTATTCCTTGACCAAAAGTAATAAAATATTTAAAAGTTAAACTAATACAAAAATAATATTTTAGAAGGAAAATGAAAGGGTTCTGACTCAGCATGTGTTGCAGAGAATCTACAACGCTGTTATTCTGTCAGCACCCATATACCTACTTAGTGAGCTAGTATAACAGTACGCGTACATTACTGATTATATTAAAGCGGTCGATTCACTCTCCACCCTTATTAAATCCTTATTAAGGAGAACGAAAGGGTCGTCCCGGTTGCTAACAATAGTGGGCTTCCCCTACACATTAGCAACCTATTAAAAGCCAAAAAAGCTGCTTTCCGGAGAGCAGCAAAATATCCCACCCCCGAATACAGGCGCGCGGCCAATCGTCTTCAACGAAAACTCCGCTTCCGCCTCTCTGAATTCCAAGATCTCGAAAAGAGTAAGCTCATGGAGAATATCTCTCCATCTCACACAGCGTACTATCAGATGGCTAGAGCCCTCCGCATAGACGCTATCACCCACACTCCCCCTCTCTCCCGTCCCGACGGCACGGTTGCCTTCGAGGACGAGGAAAAGGCTGAGTGCTTTGCAGATAGCATTGCCGCTCAATGCTCTCCCAGTTCTCAACCCGTCGACCCCTCACACGTCCAGGCAGTGGAGGATGAGGTCCGCCGCCGGAACTCACCCCCCACGGCCTCCGAACCTATCTCTGTGTCCAATGATGAGATTTCATCCGTCATCAAAGGACTTAAGCCTAAAAAGGCTCCGGGCGCGGATGGCATCTCCAACCAAGCCCTAAAACACTTTCCCGAGCAGGTGTTAACCTTTTTTACCTATTATCTTCAACGCCTGCTTCATCCTTAGTTATTTTCCCACTACGTGGAAAGAGGCTACTGTGATTGGAATTCCCAAGCCAGGCAAGCCTCTCAACCTCCCCCTCCGGCCATCGCCCCATTAGCCTCCTCAAGGCAATGGGCAAGCTCTTCGAAAGAGTCATCCAAATTCGTATGAGGAGCTATCTGTTTCCCACAGACGGCGACCCTCTTATCATTCCCCATCAATTCGGCTTCCGAGCCAAACACTCATGCCCCCAACAAGTTCACCGCATTGTGGAATATATCCTCAGCGGTTTCTATCCTCGTCGTCATAAGACCATCGCGGTCTTTTTCGATATAGCCAAAGCTTTCGATAGAGTCTGGCACACAGGCCTCATCTACAAGCTCTATAAAATAGGTCTCCCCGATCGTCTAGTTCGTCTCGTGGCCTCCTATTTAAAACATCGTACCTTTCGTTTCAGACACGAAGGCACGCTTTCTTCACAGCGAACTATCAAGGCTGGTGTCCCTCAGGGCTCAGTACTTGCTCCTCTGCTGTACATCCTGTTCACCAACGACATTCCCATCCCGTCGAAAGGTGTTCAACTCTCCCCTCTTTGCAGATGACACTGCCATCTACTGCAAAGGTGTCTCACTACCCCTTATACGGAACAAGATCCAAAAGTCAGTTGATGACCTAGGAGCTTGGTTCAAAAAATGGCGCATCGATGTGAACCCGGAGAAGAGCTCCGCCGTCCACTTCGATTATAAACGACGCCGTCTCAAAAACACTCCACCAATACGTATGCTAGGGACCCCTGTCCCCTGGCATACGTCCGCCAAATATTTAGGTGTCACTCTAGACACAGGGCTCACTTTCAAGCCCCACGTCAAAAGAGTAACCCGTCACGCACGGTTTTGTCTGAGTAGGCTCAACAGTATGTTGGGCCGACACAGTAAAATGTCCCTTCGAAACAAGCGTACCCTCTACAAGGTATGTATACGACCAGTCATGTCCTACGCGGGCCCCGTCTTTGCCCACGCAAACCCTAACATTTTAAATGAACTCCAAATAGTTCAGAACCTCTTCTGTCGTCGAGCTGCGAACGCACCGTGGTACGTCCGTAATGCCGACCTTCATCGGGACTTAGAGCTCCCAACAATTCAACAATTTCTTAAAAAACTCTCTGAGAACTTCTTCAAAGCCTCAGAGTCGCACCCAAACCATTTAATTCGTGAGGCAGCTTCTTATGCAGCCCCACACATTCTCGCTATCGTGTCCGCAGGCCGAGAAACTCTCTCTCGGACCCGCCTAATAAACTTTCAAACGACCTGAACTGTCTCCTGGCGGCTCAGGCCAACTCTAATTAAATAAAATTATTGTAATATCTAACATTAATTTGCCTTCGTAGGCACTCCCTCAGCGGCACTTAGCCGCCTGCGCCCTTTTTCCCAAAAGAGGGTCGCTCATGATAAGGCACAATAGAGCTTAATCAGCCGGTTGCCTGTCCCCAAAGGCGGTTTTTAGAGGGTATCACTTAGGGTCCCCGGTAGGACAGTGAGCCCCTCATAACCACGATAGACCGGCTATCGTGGTATGCGTAATGCATTTTCCGCCTCTCTACGTATAGGGTAGCCCTTTAATTGCTTCGGGCGCAAAAAAAAAACTGATTATATTACAAATAGCTTTTAGTGTTAAATTATTTATTTATTCATTCAGCCAGTACAAGAACTGTATAATTAACCAGTACAAGTTTTCATAATATTTCTATTAATAAATTGATAATTTATATACATGTACAAGAGATAAACATAATATAAATAAAAACATGAAAATAATAATAATAATAATATTAAAAGTAAGAGCTACAGTAGTATTTTATTTATTCAGACTAATTATAATAATTATGCTAGAACAACGTAATGGTTATTAAAAAGAATATTGGTAGTAAATGTAAGTTACATAATTGCATATAACTATATATGGAATATTCAGTCCCTGCCGAATATTTTTTTTTATATTTATGACATTTTATGCGTACTTAATAAATACTCATTATATTTTCTCTTAAAACTGTTCTTATTTGTTAATGTTCGTAATGGTGGTGGAAGATCATTCCTACATTTTGTGGCCATAAATTTGTAACTACCACGAAATGCTGATGTCCTATGTTGAGGTATGTAAAGTACTTTTGCACACTTTCGGATACCGTACATATATTGATTTTGTCTCCACTGTAGCTTTTCATATAGGTATTCTGGTTTCTTTGTTTTTATCACTCCAAATAGCAGGGAGGCATAAAATAATTTGAGACGTTCCTGCATTTTAAGCATATTAGAGGCATTAAGGTAAGGTGTAACATGTGTTCGTCTTGGGATGTAAAAACAGTAACGAGCGCAAGCATTTTGTACCCTTTGAATTAATTTTTTTGATTTTTTAAATAGACAAGGTCCATACAAAGTATATCCAATAATTTAAAGTATATACAATAATTTAGTTTGGACAGAACTAAGGTTTCACATAGTTTAACGCGTAAGTCTACAGTGATAAACTGCCTAATTGAATATAAAACCTTTCAATCGGAAAAAAAACAACTTTTTACGACATTAATTACATGATTTTCAAACTTTAAATAACTACCCTTAAGAACCCCAAGATTTCGTACTTCAAAAACTCGTTCAATGTTTTCTCCATCAATACGTACGTTAAGATCAGTAAAAGTTATGTCCTTTACCTGCTTTTTAGTACCTATAATAATAAGCTTAGATTTTGTAGATTAAGGAGCATGGAGTTATTTTGTGACCAAGAACTAATGCGTTGAAAATCCTCATTTAACTTATCTACCGCTGTATTTACATTTTTACTATCTACACTAATATACACCTGTAGGTCATCAGCATAAGTATGGTATTTGCAATTTTCAAGACATGCTGTTATATCGGAACTATAAATGATAAAAAGCAAAGGGCCCAAAATAGATCCTTGAGGGACACCTTTATTGACAGGAAGAAGTTGGGAAACATAGCTTTCGCCATCATTCCGTTATAACTTGTTGTAGACGATTATTGAGATAACTCTTAAACCACACCAATGCCCCGTTATCAAAACCGTAATATGATAGTTTATCTATTAACAAATCCGTATTTATCAAATCGAATGCTTTTGAAAAATCTAAAAGAGTAAGGATCGTGCCTTTGCCAGAATCCGAAAAAGACAGCACGTCATTTACGACATTTATAGGGGCTGTAGCTGTCGCATGACTCTTCCTAAACCCTGATTGTAACTTAGGTAGTATTTTATTTAGTTCACAAAAGTATACTATTTGAAAGTGTACAACTTTTTCCAATATTTTTGATAAATATGGTAAAATGCTAATAGGCCTTAGGTCGCTTAAATCAACTGCGTTTTCTTTTTTTGGTACAGGACGAATTAGTGCGGTTTTCCACTGAGAAGGAAAAATTGATTCTGTGATAGACATATTAATTATTGCTGTTATAACCTTTAATGTTTGTGGTAGTGTCAAAAGTATCATTTCCATACCAATTCGATCAACCCCTTGTGATATAACTCAAAATGCATAAGTTGACTAAATAACTTGATGATTATATCACTATCTGAGCATTTACTTTACGATTTTTACTCTTATATTTTACATGCGTAGACAGCTACAGGTTATTAAAACACAAAATTACATCACTTTTGCTTTGCAAAATCCACTTTTAGCTAATAGTATTAAACAATATTTAAGATATACGTGGTACTATGATATTAGCATGAATGAGTCGGCTCAACCGGGGAAGGACGGTCCTTCACCAGTTGAGCTCTCACAGAATACCAGAGTAGTCCTTTCCTAGTTGAGCTCTCACGGAATACCAGAGTAATATAGCAGCTTAATGTTACGTATGGTGAGTGTAGAGAAGAGAAGACCTTATTAATACTGGAAAAGAGGCATTCCATCCTAGTCCACAAAGGGTGACAAAGTATTTGTACTTTGATTTTAATTGAGGAATGTAGATATCTATGTGCCACAGCCTTCACCTACTATCACTGCATTCACCTACTATCAGGTACACTGCGTTCTCGATTGTCACCCTACTTCCATGGGAAAAACCGATTTTCATCCATGTACGTTCAAATTCCTATTTCCTAATAAAACATTTGGCCACAAGGTCAGCCAAAAAGAATACTTCAATTGCTGTAACACATTAATATTACTCAATATATTACTCAAAACTCTTAAACTATTTATGAAACAATAGTAACTATGTAAAAAGTGGGGTAATAAATGTTATTACTATTATTATTATCATATGACGCAGTCAAGTTACTTTGTATTTCTGAAAACATACATCACATTGTCATATGAATCTTTAACATCGCCTTCTTAGGATCTTCTCCTAATTGAAACAACAAACAACAGAGAGAAAAAGAAGTTAGGGAATTCATTATTCTTTTCGTCGTCAGGATGTCGTAAGAGGCGACTTTATGAAATACCAGAAAAGACTCGTGGCTTCCAATAGACTGCTATAAAATCATTTCGTTTACCCCAGGTGTAAATACTCGGAACCGATGTCGGGGAGCAGCGTCATAGGTGCAAGACATCTTGTATTATGATCACAAACTAATAAGAGCACTAATGTAATTATGATCATCAATCCACATGCAAGTGTGACGAAATAAAAGTTCGCCCAATAACGGGAGAGCTTAAGCTAATGGAGAACGTTTTATGTAAACTTCATGTGCCATTTTAATTTTATGCATAAACGTTTAAACCAATACGCATAACGAAATTGATTACGGCTTGGTGAACAAATAATACGACTGCGGAGCAATATTATATAAAAAAATTATATAGATTGTTGTTACTACGGTATTGAAAGAAAGTTAGTATTTTAGAGATGTTTCAAGCATGTTATAGGTTAGGGAAATATCATGAAATTTTATTAAAAATACATTATTGAAATAAATAAGTAGTTTATTAGTCTGAGTTTATTGCAAAAAGCACGTTAGGACTGCTTTTTTGTATGTAATATCTATTTTAATTTGATAATAATAAAGTCCGTCATTGAATATTCATAAACTTTGATTCAGATTCTAAAACAAGACAATTTTCGCGCATTTTATTAATTTATGAATCTGATAAGTGATAACTGTTTTAGCGACAAAATAAAAAAAAAAAACATTTTTCCTTCTTGGCCACATAAACAATACATTCTCTTTGATTTAATATGATGTAATTTTATATTTCGAACGTTTTCGAATTTCGAACGCCCTCTACCAGCAAATCTCTTCTGAAAGAAGCCTGTGAAAGAATCCTCTGGAAAGTAGACACTAGACACGATCTCCGGTATATCTAAATCATTACGTGAGAATATATTCTTTAGCCCGAAGTAAATGTAAGTATTTTCGTTATCATTCATTCTTCTTTTATATTCTTCCATTTTAGGTGGTGAAATCAGGTGAATTTTATAAGTTTATTTTACTTTTTTGGAAATTCTATTTGAAAGAGCTTGAATGTGGATAAATTTTTTATATGGTTCTTTTTACATGGACAATTAAACTGTTTTTATTGATTTAATTTTTAAGTTTCTATAGTGATAAACTACGCAATGCTGAAATAATTCGATTTTTTCGGAAACATCCAAGTTCTCAATGGTTAGATTGTTCCTCATTCATTTTATAAGGTGTTTTTAAATGACTGGTATATCAGCTAAAGCAACGGTCAAAATAGCGACAAAACATCATGATCAGCCTTTAAATTGCAAGAGGTAAGATAAATCGAATAAAAGCATTTTAAGGTTCACTATTGCGCTTTCTCTACTTTTATTTTCAATAGATTTTTGTAAAAGGGCGCGCTGGTTTAGTCCCGATTTTCGCGCCTGACCTTTACTGCACTCTAATAATAGCATTACTGTTATTGAACCTAAACAATCAATGCCGTTGTTTTACGCATGTGGTGAAGTCTATGATGTATTCAATAAACTTGTTATCGGAAGGGGTACGAAAATATTAAAGTGAAAATTCCCGTCTCTTCGTGTAGTGTGTATTATCTTTGATTTTGTTTCTTTCCCCATTCTAGGCACAATGGTATGTTAGTTCCAGTAGAGCAAACTACTTTTTAGGGCACTCTTCAGGTGTTGTCTAAATCCGAATGACATGTTAATAAGCCCATTTTATTAAACATTCATTAAAATTATGTGAGGTTGCAATCTAACTACAGAATTTTGTTTCAGCAATAAATCTAACAATATGTGTGACCGAAAGGCAGTTATCAAGAATGCAGATATGAGTGAGGAGATGCAGCAAGATGCAGTGGACTGTGCGACACAGGCACTAGAGAAGTTTAACATTGAAAAGGTAACTATGAGGCTTCACTATGACATAAGGTTGCACCAAGACATTGTATTGGTATGTTTATGTATGTTACATTCCAGTGCATTGTGTTCTTTTAAGAAGTAGTAAAACGTTCTGACTATCTCAAAAATCTACTGAGCAAGCAACCTTTGTACTATGCATGCACTGTGCATTGTGATTATAAAGAAATAATCATAATGCGATTCTGAAGTGTATTATTAAATCGCACTTACTATCACCTAACTACCAAATCATAATCTAAACCTGTTCTCCTTTAGAACAAATTACAGTAATGGAATTGCCCTTTGAAGACAGGTGAAACATCAATGAAACATATGATTGTTTCGTGTTACATGCATATACCTGTTTCTTTTGCCCAACTGGCAATCTAGCTGTAAATTAACAAACTAGTTAACTGGCATATAAACTCTAATTTAACTATGACATTGATATCAACACATAAAATGGTATTACAATGAAACTAATGTTCTGTTATCTGTGAAAGTATGATGTGGTATTAGTTTCCCATATGATAAAAATTTGTGGTTAAATTTTTTGTAAGTTACGACACAATTCATTTTACATTTTCAGGATATTGCAGCATTTATCAAGAAGGAATTTGACAAGAAGTACAACCCAACATGGCACTGCATAGTCGGCCGCAACTTTGGCTCTTATGTCACGCATGAGACTCGCCACTTTATCTACTTTTACCTTGGCCAGGTTGCCATACTCCTGTTTAAGAGTGGTTAAAACTCTGCTACGCACCTTCTCTAAATTTTATGTTGTTAGCAATGGACATAGTATAACCGGGTTCGAAAGTCTGCCTCTCTCATTGTTCCAACTCATCCCAAGAATAACTGGATAGGAAGTGGATATTTTACATTCCTACCTGTAGGTAGCATTTACCTAGTTTGTTTGTTTCTTATCTTGCTTAATTTACCTGGGGTGTGTTGACTTTATGAGAGGCATTATGGTTGTAAATGTATGTAGGGGTGTGGTTGTTTGTGTGAATGGTTAAGCGGTTGCCAGCCACTTCACTTCCTTTGTTTAATGATGCTGGTCATTCACCCTGCGTCGAATCTCCGACACTTAGTACCCGGGCACTTGATGTATGTTTGTTCTGTGTTAGATTACTTTAAGGTTCAATATTGACTTTGGTACATTCACTTCTAGTGTATTTATATTAAAGAAAATTTTAGTTAATTATTCCTAGATTTAACCTAGCATAGTGTAAAGTCATATGTTAGTACTTATCTAAATTTATTGTTTATTTTCTTTGTTAAACAATCACTGGAGATATTTTCAATACTTCTATATTAAATTAAACTTTCTTACAAACCCATTTCTAGATGTTTTATTTAAAATAACATTTTATTCATAAAAATGAAAGTAAGATACATGCATGGCTCTACAAATATACCTAAAAATATAAAAGATACTCTATATGTATACATCATCATCATCATAATTACAGCCCTTTTTTTTTTTTTTTTTTTTTTTGCGCCCGAAGCAATTAAAGGGCTACCCTGTACGTAGGGAGGCGGAAAATGCATTACGCATACCACGATAGCCGGTCTATCGTGGTTATGGGGGACTCACTGTCCTACCGGGGACCCTAAGTGATACCCCCTAAAAACCGCCTTTAGGGACAGGCAACCGGCTGATTAAGCTCTATTGTGCCTTATCATGAGCGACCCTCTTTTGGGAAAAGAGGGCGCAGGCGGCTAAGTGCCGCTGAGGGAGTGCCTACGAAGGCAAATTAATGTCAGATATTACAATAATTTTATTTAATTAGAGTTGGCCTGAGCTGCCAGGAGACAGTTCAGGTCGTTTGAAAGTTTATTAGGCGGGTCCGAGAGAGAGTTTCTCGGCCTGCGGACACGATAGCGAGAGGGGGGTGGGGCTGCATAAGAAGCTGCCTCACGAATTAAGTGGTTTGGGTGCGACTCTGAGGCTTTGAAGAAGTTCTCAGAGAGTTTTTTAAGAAATTGTTGAATTGTTGGGAGCTCTAAGTCCCGATGAAGGTCGGCATTGCGGACGTACCACGGTGCGTTCGCAGCTCGACGACAGAATAGGTTCTGAACTATTTGGAGTTCATTTAAAATGTTAGGGTTTGCGTGGGCAAAGACGGGGCCCGCGTAGGACATGACTGGTCGTATACATACCTTGTAGAGTGTACGCTTGTTTCGAAGGGACATTTTACTGTGTCGGCCCAACATACTGTTGAGCCTACTCAGATAAAAACGTGCGTGACGGGTTACTCTTTTGACGTGGGGCTTGAAAGTGAGCCCTGTGTCTAGAGTGACACCTAAATATTTGGCGGACGTATGCCAGGGGACAGGGGTCCCTAGCATACGTATTGGTGGAGTGTTTTTGAGATGGCGTCGTTTATAATCGAAGTGAACGGCGGAGCTCTTCTCCGGGTTCACATCGATGCGCCATTTTTTGAACTAAGCTCCTAGGTCATCAACTGACTTTTGGATCTTGTTCCGTATGAAGGGTAGTGAGACACCTTTGCAGTAGATGGCAGTGTCGTCTGCAAAGAGGGAGAGTTGAACACCTTTCGACGGGATGGGAATGTCGTTGGTGAATATGATGTACAGCAGAGGAGCAAGTACTGAGCCCTGAGGGACACCAGCCTTGATAGTTCGCTGTGAAGAGAGCGTGCCTTCGTGTCTGAAACGAAAGGTACGATGTTTTAAATAGGAGGCCACGAGACGAACTAGACGATCGGGGAGACCTATTTTATAGAGCTTGTAGATAAGGCCTGTGTGCCAGACTCTATCGAAAGCTTTGGCTATATCGAAAAAGACCGCGATGGTCTTATGACGACGAGGATAGAAACCGCTGAGGATATATTCCACAATGCGGTGAACTTGTTGGGGACATGAGTGTTTGGCTCGGAAGCCGAATTGATGGGGAATGATAAGAGGGTCGCCGTCTGTGGGAAACAGGTAGCGCCTCATACGACTTTGGATGACTCTTTCGAAGAGCTTGCCCATTGCCTTGAGGAGGCTAATGGGGCGATGGCTGGAGGGGGAGGTTGAGAGGCTTGCCTGGCTTGGGAATTCCAATCACAGTTGCCTCTTTCCACGTAGTGGGAAAATAACTAAGGTTGAAGCAGGCGTTGAAGATAATAGATAAAAAGGTTAACACCTGCTCGGGAAAGTGTTTTAGGGCTTGGTTGGAGATGCCATCCGCGCCCGGAGCCTTTTTAGGCTTGAGTCCTTTGATGAGGGATGAGATCTCATCATTGGACACAGAGATAGGTTCAGAGGCCGTGGGGGGTGAGCTCCGGCGGCGGACCTCATCCTCCACTGCCTGGACGTGTGAGGGGTCGACGGGTTGAGAACTGGGAGAGCATTGAGCGGCAATGCTATCTGCAAAGCACTCAGCCTTTTCCTCGTCCTCGAAGGCAACCGTGCCGTCGGGACGGGAGAGAGGGGGAGTGTGGGTGATAGCGTCTATGCGGAGGGCTCTAGCCATCTGATAGTACGCTGTGTGAGATGGAGAGATATTCTCCATGAGCTTACTCTTTTCGAGATCTTGAAATTCAGAGAGGCGGAAGCGGAGTTTTCGTTGAAGACGATTGGCCGCGCGCCTATATTCGGGGGTGGGATATTTTGCTGCTCTCCGGAAAGCAGCTTTTTTGGCTTTTATTAGGTTGCTAATATGTAGGGGAAGCCCACTATTGTTAGCAACCGGGACGACCCTTTCGTTCTCCTTAAGGGAGGATTTAATAAGGGTGGAGAGTGAGTCGACCGCGGTGTCGATTTTTTCGGGACTATCTAAGTCCGACGGTAGGGAGATGGTAGAGTCCTGTGAGTCCAGAGCTTTAGCTAGGGACTCCTTGAATCCCTTCCAGTTAGTGAAGGTTTTCGTGTGTGTTGGGGGAGGTGGCTGATGGCCAAGAATGAGGGAGACCGGTCGGTGATCTGATCCTAGATCGTCTAGTGTCTCGATTGCTCCGAGGTTGAGAGAAACTCCTTGGAGTATCGCAAAATCTAACACATCGGGGGGCGTGATCGGTGTTATCGGGGAAGTGAGTAACACCGAGAGGACTATGGACGGTAATATCAAGAGACTGCGTGATATCGAGCAGTATCTTGCCACTAGGGGACGTAGTGCGGCATGTCCATTCAGTATGCTTGGAGTTAAAATCTCCAAACATAATGACTAAATTGCCTAAAGACAAAATGGCTTCAAAATCCTTTTTGAGGGGATAGGTTCCTGAAGGGATGTAACAGGAGGCTATGAGGATGGACTGATGTCCAGTCATAGCTAGCCTGCATACCGTGGCTTCCATGTTGGTAAGCTGCGGAGTAGAAATGGGCGAGCAATGAAGTGTCTTCTTGTAATAGATGGCCGTTCCGCCGCCTCGGCGGTCGGGTCTGTCGTTACGATAAAGAGAGAAGTTTTTAATAGAAAGGCCTCTAGTGTCCTTAGCTTTGAGATTAGTTTCCTGTAGGAGGAGGAAATCGACTTCACGATTCCGAAGAAAGAGCTTGAGCTCTGGGAGGTTATTTCGCAAGCCGCGAATATTAAATGATACAAGCGATAAACCCTTAGGTTTGATACGACCGTGAGATCTAGGTAGGTTAATTCTCTCAGTCATTGAAGTTAAGTTAATTAAGTTAACCTAACTTACAACGCTAACAAAAGGTTATTGTGCTCCGCAAGAACGAGGAGACGTTCTTGGGGGGACTTGGCCGCGCGCAGTTTGCGTGATACAACTGTTATTTCCCTAACGTCGATATTCCTAATAGCGGAATATAGCGTGTTGTAGTCGTCGATTGTGGGCTCTGCTTCATGAGCGTACGAGGTTGTCCGCGGTGGGTCTGCCTTTTTGGGCCCCCAGGGAAAGACTGGAGGCTGCATTGGCTTGGAGAAGCCCGGAGGGGGCCGAATTATGCCCTGAGGGGGCCTAGGGGGACCCTGAGGGGGCCTAGGGGGACCCTGAGAGGGTCGAGAGAAGCCCTGGATAGGCTGAGAGGGGCCCTGACGGGGCCGTTGTTGGAGGGCCGGGAATGAGCGGTCATTTACCGGAGGTGGGGCTTTCCTACTGGGGCGAGGTTGAGGTGCGCGTGGGCAAACCTTGTAGTTCGCCGGGTGTCCTGTCTGGTTGCACAGGACACAGGCGGGCGGGGGATTCGGCGTCTTTGGGCCGGGGACACTCTTTAGTGTTGTGTGGCTCCAGGCACTTCACGCACCTGGGTGGGGCGGAGCAGTTGGCCGCCGCGTGACCATAAAGTTGGCAGCGGTGGCACTGCGCCGGGAAACCGGGCCTATGTGGGGGCTCTACCTTCACCCTTGACAGGCCGCACACTGTGCGCACCTGCCGGAAGATGGCTTTAGCCTCCGGCACGTTGGACAAGATTACTAGGGCAAGGTTGTATCTCTTGCCCGTACGGTTGTGCATTTTGTGCACTGCTTCCACTGGGAAACCTTGGGACTTAAGGTCCTCGAGGATTTCCTCGTTGGAGAACTCAAAGGGGACGCCTCGGATGACGGCCCTGACTTTACGCTCTTCAGGGAGAGCGTAAGTGTGGTATGAGATGCGCTCGGCTGTGAATAGCCGGGTAATTGCGCGGAAGTCCTCGATCGAGGTAGGGATTATTTTGATTGCCTCCCCGAGGTTGACTGCATGATCGTATTTGATACCTGCGTCGTAGCAGGTCTTAGACAGTTGGGTGAACTTTGCCTTGTCTCTTAGGAAGACAGGGGGCGGGACTTGCTTCTTCGCCAGCACT